GCCCGGGCTAAATTCGGCCCTGGGAGGGTGTGGGGCCTGGTGAACACCTTTCCCTCAGCTCCTATCCAGTCCAAGGGGGGCCTGCTCCCTGTATGTGTGGTGAGGGCGTGAGGGTCCAAGAATGACTGCCCTCCTCCCCCGAAGGCCCCTTCCCATTCCTGCACCGTGAAGACTCTCAGACATTCACCGTGGGGTTCTTTTCCCAGTGCCCTAACCACACACACACACACACACACACACACACACACACGCACGAAGTGGAATCACACTGAGCTCCGGTCTCATCACTAGTTAGTGTGGCACCTCCAGGGCCCCTACTCTGTCCTCTCCTGGGAGCCAGCAAAGGAGCCCCTCCTCTCACGCACTTCTGGTCCCTTAGGGGTGCCAGGGTCATGGTGGGGAAGGAGAGCCCCAGGCTGAGGCCAAGACCAGTTGGGGGGCTGCGGGGTCCCCACAGGTCTCCTGGCAGGGCTGGGGGGCGCCGTGGCCCAGCAGACCACCCTACACCCAGTTGTGGGCCGTATCTTCGTGCACACCCTGGACCATGGAAACTTCTTCCGCCTTCCTGAGCATGGCGGTGAGTGGGGCCTCGTGGGCGCTGGGCTGAGCTGGGCAGGCCTGGCCCGTGGCTGGTGAAGAAGGCTCATGTCATGTCTCCAATGCCCTCTCCTCCCTTCCACCAGCTGTCCCACCCTCTGTCTCTGTCACCTACCAGGCCCACCTCCAGGGTCACCCAGACCTGCCTCGGTGGCTTCGCTATACGCAGCGCAGCCCCCGCCACCCTGGCTTCCTCTACGGTAGCCCCACCCCAGAAGATCGAGGACACCAGGTCATTGAGGTATCAGCAGGGACCCCAGAGGACTGTGTCACACATGGTGGTTCATTTGTGTTCATTCGCATTATTTACACGCCTCTAACTCGGGAGTGGCTCAGCCCTGTCCTGCCAGGCCCCAGCCGCACCGCCTTGCACCTCTAACCCCGCCCCTTGGGCCTCTTCCCCATTCCCTGCAGGTTGTAGCCTACAACCGGGACAGCTTTGACACCACCCAGCAGAGGCTGGTGCTGTTGATCGGGGACCCAGAAGGTACTACCCGCCCTGCCCCACCCACACCCCACCAACAGTCTTGAAGCATCTCCCCTGAAGGGGGTGTGTAGAAGGGAATCCTTGGAAAGGAGTGGGGAGCAGGGCATCTTGGAAAACCTCTGGAGTTGTAATCGTGGCTGCTCTGCTGTCAGCCCGTGGGTGTTGGGGAGGGCGTTTGGGGTCTGTGATAGATGGGGTGTCAGGGAGGAAGGAAGGCATCTGAGGGGACATAGGGAGGAGCTTGGGTGCAGGGAGGCTTGGGAAAGATCTATGCAGGGCTGGGCACAGCCTGAGATGCAGACCTGACACTTCCAGGCCCCCCGCTGCCATACCAGGCTGAGTTCTTGGTGCGCAGCCATGACGTGGAGGAGGTGCTGCCCTCAACACCTGCCAGCCGCTTCCTCACAGTTTTGGGGGGGCTCTGGGAGCCGGGAGAGCTCCAGCTGCTCAACATCACCTCTGCCTTGGACCGTGGGGGTCGTGTTCCCCTTCCCATCGAGGGACGCAAGGAAGGGTAGGCATGCAACCCAGGAGGGCTTCCTGAAGAAGGAGGCAGTTTGCCTTCTGTCTGGGTGCTAAGCATAGAACTTGGGTCCCCCTAATTTCCAGGTGGGGTTTTCCCTACCTTTGAGCCCCCTCACCATGGTTCTATGTACTTTCCTGTAAACATCTTTGCCACAAGCATTTTGGCTACGAGCATTTTTGCTGCAAACATTTTCTCTGCATAACTAATTGGCCACAAGGCAATTTTGCTGTAAAAGATATAAGAACAAAAAATAAAAGAGGGACATTAAAAAGACACAATGAAACATGAAAAATTAATAAGACTTCATTGCAAAAAATGAAAATGCATTGTTTTGGGAGTCTTTCCTTCATAGTATTATACATTTTTAATTGTTGATTATTCTCGTTTGGCATTGCATTTTTTTCTGTTCTGCTAAAACTTCTTCCTTAATTAAGAAAGGCATCAACCCTGGCTGGTGTAGCACAGTGGATTGAGCATGGGCCTGCAAACCAAAGGGTTACTGGTTCAATTCCCAGTCAGGGCACATGCCTGGATTGTGGGCAAAGTCCCCAGTAGGGGACGCATGACAGGCAACCACACATTGATGTTTCTTTTTCCTTCCCTTTCCCTCTAAAAACAAATAATTTTTTTTAAAAAGAAAGTCATCAGTTCCCAACTAAAGAATCAATAATGCTCTGGAGGACTTGTGAATTAGCAGTGCCTCTTTCATATTTGCATGGCTGGGTAAACTTCTGGTTTTGAGAGGTGGGATGGACAACTGTACCCACTGAAGGATTTGCAAACTGAGAGGTGTTCGTTTTCTAGCAGAGGACGCAATCTGGCTTTACACGCGCCTTTGCAGCCCGGCTCCACGGGTAGTTGTGGTTGCCCACTGTCTTCAGACCAACACGTCTGCATGGCACGGTGGGGACCACCAGGAGGACTGAGATTTACATCACGATGGGAATTCTGGGAGAACTTTGTCGATGGAGAAATGAAACCAAACTGACCAACTTCATTGAGTCCGCTGGAGGAATCCAGACTGCCCAACAGTCCAGTTGCCTTGGTCAGTTAGTTTGCAGAGAATATGCTCGTGACAGAGATGCTTTCTAGGAAACTTTCGGACCTGCCTCCCTAGGCCCGCCGACACCTCCCAGGTCCCGGTCCAGGTCCAGGGCGCTGTCCACCCCCTCATCTCCCTCCTTCCCTTCGTGCGCCCAAGCCTGGGTTGCTCTGAACTCCACCTTCCTGTACCCTCCCCATTTGCTAACAGCGGCTTCTCTCTGGGCCCAGGGTATACATCAAGGTGGGCTCTGCCTCACCATTTTCCACCTGCCTGAAGATGGTGGCGTCTCCCGACAGCCACGCTCGCTGTGCCCAGGGCCAGCCTCCACTTCTGTCCTGCTACGACACCTTGGCCTCTCACTTCCGAGTTGACTGGTGCAATGTGTCCCTGGTAAGGAGAGACCCTGGCTCCGGGTGGGGATTCGACAGGGCTCCCTTCACCGTCTGATCCCTCCCCCTTCCATCTGATTATTCTCTCTCACTTCCACAATCTCCCACAAGAGGGCGACAGAGTCCACAACCCAGGGCTCTCTGGCTCCGGAAGTCCCATAACAATCACTCCCACAAAGCGGTCGCAAAACCCTTACCTGACCAAAGGCCTCCGTGTGTGACAACTCTGTCTGCTTCCTTCTAGGGGTCACTGAGCAAATCTGCCTGCGGCCCACGTTATAAATCAGAGACGCTCACCACTGTTCTGTGGTTGTTGAGCGGAGGTATCTGAGGTCCCCAGGGCTCTGTCTTTCTGGGAACTGACCAATAGCGCAGCCAGGGGCTGCTAACCAGAGACATGCTGGAGCGCTGGCTAGGGGCTGGGCTGGAGCATTCCTCCCGTGTTATTCTTACAAGCACCCCAGGAGACAGATACCAGTAGCGTTCCAACTGTCCGGGTTAGGACGCTGAGGCACCTAGGGGTAAGCACTCACCTGAGTTGGGATTCTACCCCAGACAGTCGGGAGCTATGCTCTGGCCACTGACTGCTTGGTCCTGCCTCTGAAAATCTCTCCCAGCTCCCAGTCCAGTGCTTGTTTTGCTGGGTCACCTGAGCTGGGAGAGGCAGGCAGGAAACCTGTCCCATGGGGCAGTAGGTAGTGGCACCCCGAATCTCTGCCCTGTTCCCCCGGGTACAGGGGGGTGGTCTTTGTGTCCAGCCAGCTGCTCCTGGGTCAGCCCTGGGCTCTCTGAGCAGGTGGATAAGTCAGTGCCAGAGCCTGCAGACGAGGTGCCCACCCCGGGCGATGGGATCCTGGAACGTGACCCCTTCTTCTGCCCACCCACTGAGGCCACAGCCAGGGACTTCCTGACCGATGCTCTGGTCACCCTCCTGGTCCCTCTGCTGGTGGCCCTGCTGCTCACTCTGCTGCTGGCCTATGTCATGTGCTGCCGACGGGAGGGACGGTGAGTGTGGGGACAGGGACAGAGGGCAGGGAGGGCACTGAGGCTGGTGCTCAGTCGTGGAGTCTTGGTGGCACTTGTGGGGACCCAGACTGCCCAGGAAATGGGGTACTCAACCAGAAAAGGAGGGGGGCCCTTTCTAAGTGACTCAGGGCTGGGGTCCTGCCTGGCACCAGGAGGGGCTGTGGATAACAGTTAATCCCTTTCCCTGCTCTTCCACAGGCTGAAGAGAGACCTGGCCACCTCTGAGTGAGTAAGGGGGGAAGCTGGGGGCTGGGTAGCAGTCTCTGACCCCACCAGGGGGGCACCCTCTAGCCTCCACAAGCAGCACAGACAGACCAGATTATTTGGAGGTGATGGGGCCACCCTTGGCCTCTGAGATCCAGTCCTGGGCTGCTGGATGCTGGGTCGGCCTTATCCTGGCTTGGTCTCCCCAGGTCTTCGGTTTCCATGGAAAAGTCTAACAGGGGATGGGGCAGGGGAGGGGACCTGGTCAGGCTTGGGAGGGTTCTCCTGCCACCATGGGGGAAAAGGTTGGAGAAGCAGCTTGAAGGACTTTCAGCACACTCATATTCACACTCACACTCACACCCACTTGGCTGTGGGTTCGACACTTGGGCTCCATCCAGCCTGGGTTCTGCCACACACTGTGACCCTCTCTGGCCTCGGTTTGCTTTGCCTGTGGTGTGGTGAGACCAGCTCATGCCTCTGGGTGTTTCCTATTCAGGAAGCCCTTCCCAAATCCATCTTGCCCTTAATTTGCCCTTAATTTGGCCAGGTTTCCTATACCTGCAGCCTCACCCGGCCTCCATGCCCCAGCACTTCCTTCCCCACTCCCTGGAACCCCAAAGACTCCAGGAGGCAGGAGTTAAATAAGTCAGGCTCCATTTATTGCCACTGCTCTGAGCCTGCGGTGGGCTTGGCCCCCCTGCGTGTTTCCCTGGGCCTGCCTCGTTAATTGCGGTGGCATTTGGCCACCCTGCGAGCCCTCTTGATTAGCCGCCTGCGTCCCCGTTTGGAGTTCAGTAGCAACCTTCGCTGCCTGGAGCGGCGCTGCCTAGACCGGCACTGCTTCTTCTGCCCCCGTCTTTTGGCCTTGAGCTTGAGCTTGGAGGCCTGCTTCTTGTTCATGCGGAAGGAGCCTGAGGTCCCCTTGCTGGTCACCCGCTTGAGTATACCCTTGTCCACCAGCCTCTTGAGCACTTTCTTGAAGCGCCAGGCATTGCGGGTCATGTTGTAGCCCCTGGCGATGAGAGCCTTCTTCAGGGTGGCCAGCGACACACGGCTGCGGCCCGCCTTGTCTGCCATTACCTCCAGGATCACCGTGCATATGCTGGGCTTTCTGCAGGCTTTGGGGCAGGCGCGGCACCCGGTCTGGCTCTTGCTAGGGACTCCCGACACACTGGCCTGCTGGCCTGCGCCGCCGAGGGCACTGTTCGAGGCTGAGGGTGCAGAGGAGGGTGGCACCAAAGTGTCTTTCTGCATCTCTTCCTCGGGCGGTGGAAGGGGACTGGGTGCGAGGACCTCCAGCATGGTGGCTGGGAATCTGCCGTAGCGGATGCGCCCCAGTTTGTGTTGCCCTCAGAGGCTTCCTCCTAGGGCTGCCGCTCAAGCCTTCCTCTGAGTGGCCAGGAGGAGGGCCCAGGGTGAGCACCCACGGCCGGCCTCAGCAGACTTGTGTCTCGGGAGCAGAGGGTGGGAGGCTTATCTCTGTGGTGACCTCAGGGGGACATTATGAGGCCACCAGAATCCTGTGAGGGTCACAATGGCCCCCCTGTTCCCTCCTGGGAGGGGAGGACAGGAGATGCCAGGTGCCCTGGGTGGAGGGCTGTGGACCCCCGCCGGTGCGCATGTGTATGCCCAGTTTCAGGGCCTTCGGAGACCCCAGTTTTAAACCCACCATTTTCAGCCACCCTCTTGCCCCACTGGGTTGAGAAATACATTTTTAGTTTGGAATTATACCGACATTTATGAATTTTTATGGGGAATAAATTTCCAGAGTGAGTTGATCTGGAAATCAACTAAATCAATTGATCTACCTCAGTTGATTTAATTCCTTGATCAACTTTCTATACAAAGGAATGAACAGGTTATTTTTTCTATTTTCATTTCTAATTGATAGAATTTTTTTCTCCCGTGGAGATCAGTGATTTTTCTATGTGAATTTTACAAGGGAGATTTTGATCCTTGGTTTTTTGTTTTTTTTTTTGCCTGTGCCAAGTTTGATTGATGACATTTTCTGCCATTGTGATTGTGGGTATTCTCTTCTGAACAGTTACTTCCATCACATCCAGCTTTTCTGGGTCAGTGTTTTAAAAATTAACTTTCTATTTTTAAATTATTTGTCGATTTGAGAGAGAGGAACATCGACTTGCCAGGCTTGCTGTCCCACCTGTTCACTCATTCATCGGTTGGTTCCCATATGTGCCCCGACTGGGGATTGAACCCGCAACCTCGGCCCACGGGGACAACGCTCCAACCAACTAAACTACTTGTCCGGGGCCTGGGACAGTTTTGTGGCTCCGATGGCATCTAGATCTGTCTCTTCCTCCGATTTCAAGTCGATAACCAATTTCACCACGTGCACTATTAGCCCTTGTTGGTATGGATTTTCTGATTTCTTTCTATGAAATCTTTTTTTTTTCTTGAACAGTGACTACCATTTTTCAAGTTATCCACAAATTGTGATTCTGCTGCTTGCTTTTCACCCATGTCGGATGTCCTGGCTGAAAGTCCTGGGGTCTCGGCAGCCCTCTGCTACGGCCCACGGGGCAGGGCGGGGCGGGGTGGGGCTCGAGGTGTGCGGATGGTGTGCTGGTGGTGGTGGTGCTGGTGGTGTGTGTGTGTGTGTGTGTGTGTGTGTGCACGAGTGTGTAGGAAGTCTGCCCCTTTGTTTCTTCTGCCCGAGTGCTCATGCAGGAGGACTGGGGGGAAAGGCACCTCAGCTCTGGCTTCTGGAAAAACATCCCCAGAACATTTTTCCACCTGTGCGTGTTGCCAAAGTAATGAGACCCAGATGTGCGGCTGGGCGTGGGGAGGGGGCCATTAACTGCAGCCCTCCCCCCACGGGAGCACCGCCTGCCTGGCTGCCTCCAGCCCTCAGCATCCATACGCTTCTTGCTCCCTCTCCCCCACAGCCTTCCCTTGCCTGGGAATGGAACATTGTGTTTTGAATGACTCCGCTTGCCAAATTCCAGACTCAAGAGCTCATTTGGACCCTCCCCTAGCCCTAGAGGGTGACTCTGCCTCCTCCCCTGGGCCAGAGAGGACTGTGCCCTCCTCCTTCCAGGAGTGTGGCCCGTTCCACAGGAAGCTGGAAAGTCCTTCCTGGAATCTAACCTGTCAGGCTCGAGCTGGAGTCTGTGTCCACTAATTGAGGCTTGGACATGAGAGGGGATCCCTTGTCCTCCCTGGTGGGTTGGTCATTAAGTAGCAGGCAGGGCTGCTTCTGCCCTGCCTGGGGCCCCACCCCTTTAAGAAAACCAAAACTTATTGCTTGTAATGAAGAGCCCAGGCTGCCTGTCTGTCCTGGCAACGAGGTAGTCAAGGAAGATCTCTCCAGGCCGGGCCCCACAAATAAGGGTGGTTTTGTGTAGAAGGGATTGGAATCATTCCTCCACTGAAGGCCAAGTGTATCGGGCCCCCTTACACTGGAGGGCAAGTGAACTTGCCTTGGTAAAATAACACCAATGGTCATGGTAGCAACGGAAGATTTTCTGTAATAATAGCGACCACCTGATGCATGCTGATCAGGAGACATTCTGTTTTCCTGTGTTAACTCATTTAATTGCGTTACAGTCATGAAAACAGTGGCACAGAGAGGTAAGGTAACTTGCACAAGGTCACACAGCCAGTAAGCAGTGGAACTCACATTCAAACCCAAAGCAAGCCTTCATGCTTGACCAGGGTGCTGCCCTGCTTGTCAGAATGAAGGAAAGCTTGCCCAGGACAGCAGGAAGTGAGCCCGTGAGCGCGTCAAGCCTATCAGGCCGGTGACAATGAGGCTGAGCCTTCTGAGAAGAAACTGGGGCCAGGGCTCAGGGAGGACTTTCCAAGGGGTGTGGCCATCAGCCCGCTCAGGCCCGTGGAGGGGTGGAGCTTGGTGCAGGCCTCAAGAAGCCTTGGTTTGAAACAAGGACAGGGAGACAAGACTCAGTGTTTGGAGCTGGTCAGTGCTGGGGGCTGACTGGGGTGGGGTGGGAGAGGCCAACGCATGGAGGGAGAGGAGGACAGGCCTGAGGAGCCAAAGGGGCTTGGTCAAGGCCTGGCAGGACTCCGGGGGCCAGCTTGGACAGAAGCTAGGACGTGGGGAAAGGTGGAGGGTGTAGGTTCGACAGACTCAGGCAGGGGTGGGGGAGGGCAGGGCTGGATGTTCAGTGGTGGGAGAGAGAATTAGGCGGGGGCGCTGCATGCTGAAAGGGACCTCGGGGATCATCAGAATATGAAGACAGAAAATAGGGCTCAGTGCATGCCGGCCTGGGGGACACAGATCCACCGCAGGCACCTGTGTCTCCGCATCCTGGGAGCTCTGACCACACGCCAGGCAGTTTCCCAAACACTCACTGAGTCCCACAACCAGCTGGGGGGGGGGCTGTATTGTTAGACCCATTTTACAGGTGAGGAAACTGAGACACGGAGCAGTGAAGTGTCTTGTGAAGAAGGGTGCATAGCTTTGAATGCAGGCTGCTGCACCCGGAGCCTGTGCCCCGGCCACTGGCACGGAGCTGGCACCATAGAACTTCCTGTTGGTCCCCCCGCATCACATGCGTCACTCTCTCCCCACGTAGCATGTAGGGAGGCTGTAGGGGGCTCAGAGGTAGAGCCAGGCTGGGCCCCAAACTCGGGGCTGATCCCCAGAGCCGACAACCTGCCGGTCCTGTGCCCCCAGCATCCAGATGATGCACCACTGCAGCATCCGAGGGAACACGGAGGAGCTGCGGCAGATGGCCGCCAGCCGGGACGTGCCCAGGCCGCTCTCCACCCTGCCCATGTTCAACGTGCGCACCGGCGAGCGGCTGCCCCCCCGTGTGGACAGCGCCCAGGTGCCCCTCATCCTGGACCAGCACTGAGGGCCTGCCCAGGTGGGTCCAGCGGGGCGGCACTGGCCCTATTTCTGGGAACGAGGTGGCCTCTGCCTCAAGGCCGGGGCAGGCGGTGGGGGATGTGGGAGGTCCAGGGAGGGCACACAGGGTGGGGCAGGCAGGAGAACCAGGGCCTGGGCCTCACAGCCCCCACTCTCCCCTCTTGTTCCAGCTCCAGCCTTGGCCTCATCCTCCCCTCCCCTCTCCTCCCTCTGCAGAGTAGCCACCACCCAGGGCTGCATCCTTCCTCCTGATTCTGGCGCCTGGCTCGATGTGCTCCATGCTTGGAACAAGGAGAGAGGTGGAAGTGGGGTGGGGTAAGGGGGCCTGGGGTCAGGATCCCAGAATAAACACCTGCAGCTCTGCTCACCTGCTGCTGCTGTGGTTTCTTCTCAGCAGCCTCCCCCCGACCCTTCCTCCTGGGAGCCTCTGGAGGTGGCCAGGGGCTGCCAGCCTGCCCTCCGGACTCAGCATGTGGCTGTTTTCTCAGATTCTCTGGCACTGGTCTTAATCCTCACAGAACCTCACTATGAGGGATTACTGGATTATTTATAGACAAGGAAGATGAGGCCCAGGGAGAGTAAGTGACTTACCCGAGGTCATAAAGCAAGCAAGCGCCAGAGCTTGGACTCAAACCCGGCACCTCTGTCCTTCCCTGGAGGGAGGGCTGAGAGGTGCTGGAAGCAGGGGATCCAGGCTCTCACCTGCCCAGACCCCTGGAGGGAGAGCCCTTGGTAAGTCATGTAGGGAAAGAACCCTATCTGGACACAGAAAGAGGGATGCAGGACCCTGGCTGCCCAGACTCAATGCCCCCTGCCTGGGGGTCCCCTCCAGGGGCCTGGCGTGGTCTGCGCATGCACCCTGGAGGGTTCAGCTGGCCAGGAGGGAACCTGAGCTTGTTTTCCCAGGTGGCTACAACCAAAGCAGGCTGCCACCCGGGCCACCAGCCTCAACTGTGGCCACTGCCTTGGGAGCACACACCCGAGAGGGGCTCGGAGAAAGGGTGCGGCCCAGGCGCGGGCTCCAGGCAGCAGCTGCAAGAGAACTCAAACTAGGGCAAGACGTCCGCCCAGTGCCCCTGTGCCTCTAAACCCCCCTTTAGTCTGTGTACCACTCTGGTGGATCTAGGGGATCCGCCACTGCTCTGGAGCTGACTCTCAGCCATTCCTCTCCACCCCGTCTCTGCCTGCCCTCCACCCCTCAGCCCTCTCCCCGGGGTGGTGAGCAGGGCCATGGAGATGCCCCAGGAGTTCCTCTCACCGGGGACGGGGTGCGGGCTTGGGTTGGTGGGCTGTCCTGACCCACATGGGACAGTCCGAAATCTAACAGAGGTGGCCCTCGGCCCAGGATTCCTGAGGAGGGTTGCATTTCTGAATGCTGCATCCTGGTGTTCAGAAATGGATAGACAGGGGGTTGCAATGGCCCCCCAATTGTCCTTGGACCCCCCTCTCCTTTCTCTCCCCAGAATATC